GTTCCTCTCAGGAGGAGAGACATTTATTTTCCAGATTGAGTGCTGGGATAAAATCTACAGCATTATGTGCAAATGGAGAGAAATTTGTCCGCTTTATGTATTTGTCAGTAATGTGACATCTAATGGCTCATTTGAAATGTCTATCTAGCCTCTGCCTTTATCTACCGGATATATCGAGTGGAACAGTTTATGAACCGCACATGTTGAGTTTTTTACGTGTCTGTGAGGGAAAACCGCAATGCTGAGTTTAGTGAAGTTAAGGCCTCTGAGAAGTATGAATGAAATAATAAATATGAATGACCTGCAAATGTTCTCATTTCAGAGAGACAGATGGACTGAGAGCCGGACGGAGACAGTGTGTGTGTTGTGTGTTGTGTGTTGTGTTGAGCAGCTGCTAGAAACAGAACCAGCTTCTGTTGTGATTGTTTTCTCTGTTGCCTGGAGGAACGTGTCGGAGCGCATCAATAATGCGCTGCTTTCTTACTAATTACCTAACGGCCATCCCTGCAAGAGCAATACAGCTGTTTAAAGATTTCCCTTCACGAGAGACAGATACGTGTCATTTATGGCGCCATATGCTAACACATTCAATTGTTAGTGTTTTTAAGGTGGTGCTGTTTTGAAATATTATTTTTTTCGGTTATTGCAGTTAAAGTCCCCCTGTTGTTTATGTGTCTATGTGGTGTTATTAATATGGTTTAAGACACACCATGTGTAAGTTCATAAGTCGACAGCATTGCTGAGTATTTTCTCCTTAAAACTGCAGTGAACCAAAGACAGTCTCAAAAACACGGTTTGAAATCGCTGGTGTTTCTGACGTCACAAACGACCTTGTAACCAATCAGATCAACGTGTGATCGTCAACCAGTGGATCTCTGAGCTGAGTGAGTGAGTGGAGGCGGGGCTCATTTGCATATTCATAGAGCCGCGCATACTAAATGAGGCAAGGGTGTCGAGTTACATTCAAGATATTTTAAGGCATGAAGAATTTTTTACAAGGAAAAAACGTTTAAATATGTAATTTTGGTGATGAAAGATGAGTTTTGAGGGATAGAATAACTGACTACAGGGGAAATTTAAATAAAATGAAAATGAAAACTAAAACCATACAAACATTTTTTTTTGTTACTTGAAATAAAATAAGCGCTAACTGAAATAAATAAAATACATGAAAAATATATCATTCATATATCAGCTAGTTGCCAATTTTCTCAGTTTAATTTGATGAACTAAAATAACTAAAACTGAAATAAAAATGAATAAATAGACATCTTTTTTTTAAAATCTAATAAAAATGGACAAAAACACAACAAATATTACCCAAAATTTTAATTAAAACAGAAAAATAAAAATTAATTACAAATATTAATAAAAACTATAAAAGATCCTAAACACTGGCCTGATCTTTTCAAATAATGTGCGTAATTTCAGCTGTAGTTGCATTTGATTTATAAACCATTTACTTTCGAGGAAATGTAAGATTTTTATTTACAAACTCACATTAAATAAACATCGATCGAATGTTAAATAAAAATCAAACCATAAGTGATTCATATTCTATATTCTGTGATATTTTTTCATGCGTTTATTTTCATATTGGCCTTTCAATTATTACTTTGCACACTGAGTTGTAATTAGTCTTTTCTTTTGTGCATAAGCACAGAACTAAAGATTAAAATCTAAACTTAGCTAAAATTATAAGTTCGTCTCAGTGACACATCAACATCAGACATCCATTACAGAGTTTGAGGAGAGCGTCCGGCTCTCCTTACTGTCCTTGAACAAGATTTATCACCGGTGCTTTTGTGAGGAACCCAAATATGGGATGGAAATTATGTGGATTTCCAGTTATTAACGCAGGCTGCCGAGATGAAGCGGTTATGGCTTTTCTCTATAGTTGCTTTTTCGGGAAAAGCATATTTAATATACGCACACTTATAACGTCATCATGACTAATTATCATTGAAGGAACTAGCTTGACATGCAACTAAATACATAATAATGTTTACAATTTTAAAAATGTGTTTTAACATTTTTAAAAATTGTCTTGTGCATTTGAGGGGAAATGTGCTTTGATTGTCATTAAAATAACACCACAATGCAAAAAAGGCTTAATTTGTGTGTGTGTGTGTATATTATACACTCACCGGCCACTTTATTAGGTACACCTGTCCAACTGCTCGTTAACACTTAATTTCTAAGCAGCCAATCACATGGCGGCAACTACGTGCATTTAGGCATGTAGACATGGTCAAGACAATCTCCTGCAGTTCAAACCGAGCATCAGTATGGGGAAGAAAGGTGATTTGAGTGACTTTGAACGTGGCATGATTGTTGGTGCCAGAAGGGCTGGTCTGAGTATTTCAGAAACTGCTAATCTACTGGGATTTTCACGCACAACCATCTCTAGGGTTTACAGAGAATGGTCCGAAAAAGAAAAAACATCCAGTGAGCGGCAGTTCTGTGGGCGGAAATGCCTTGTTGATGCCAGAGGTCAGAGGAGAATGGCCAGACTGGTTCGAGCTGATAGAAGGGCAACAGTGACTGAAATAACCACTCGTTACAACCGAGGTATGCAGCAAAGCATTTGTGAAGCCACAACACGCACAACCTTGAGGCGGATGGGCTACAACAGCAGAAGACTCCACCGGGTACCACTCATCTCCACTACAAATAGGAAAAAGAGGCTACAATTTGCAAGAGCTCACCAAAATTGAACAGTTGAAGACTGGAAAAATGTTGCCTGGTCTGATGAGTCTCGATTTCTGTTGAGACATTCAGATGTTAGAGTCAGAATTTGGCGTAAACAGAATGAGAATATGGAACCATCATGCCTTGTTACCACTGTGCAGGCTGGTGGTGGTGGTGTAATGGTGTGGGGGATGTTTTCCTGGCACACTTTAGGCCCCTTAGTGCCAATTGGGCATCGTTTAAATGCCACGGCCTACCTGAGCATTGTTTCTGACCATGTCCATCCCTTTATGGCCACCATGTACCCATCCTCTGATGGCTACTTCCACCATGTCACAAAGCTCTAATCATTTCAAATTGGTTTCTTAAACATGAAAATGAGTTCACTGTACTAAAATGGCCTCCACAGTCACCAGATCTCAACCCAATAGAGCATCTTTGGGATGTGGTGGAACGGGAGATTCGCATCATGGATGTGCAGCCGACAAATCTGCGGCAACTGTGTGATGCCATCATGTCAATATGGACCAAACTCCCTGAGGAATGCTTCCAGCACCTTGTTGAATCTATGCCACGAAGAATTGAGGCAGTTCTGAAGGCAAAAGGGGGTCCAACCCGTTACTAGCATGGGGTACCTAATAAAGTGGCTGGTGAGTGTATATTATTTATTATTAAGATGTATATTAATATATTATTAAGATATGCACAAATTACCACAAGAAAAACATATAAAATTAAAATAAATACATATTATATATTTATTATATTTGTATATATTTATAATGTTTATATTATAAATATGTTTAATAATAAATATTATATTTATATTGGATATAAAATATTATACACAGATTACTGTATAAAAAAGAATAAATAAATAAATTATTATATATTTATATACTTTTTTTTTTTTTGCAAAAATTAAAATAAATAATTACATTTTATCTTTTTTTTTTCTTTTCTTTTTTTTCCCCTCTTTTTGGGGCCAGTTTCACCCTAGATTTGTTTTCCGTTCTCTTCCCCATAGCTCAAACATCCTCAGTTTAACTCCATGGGTGTAATCTAAAATTGCTGACTTCACTTTCTGGTGTGTTTGCAGTCAGCGTGTGTTGTGTGTTTGCAGTCGGTGTGTGTTTGCGTCTCATGAGAGATGACAGGAGTCTCCAGGACATCACGAAGCTCTTCTTCAAACTCCTGTGTGTGTGTTTGTGTGTGTGTGTGTGTGTCAGCTCATCCGTCAAACCCTGATTGCTGTGGCTCTTCAGCGCAGGGAGTGATATAAAGCTAGTGATATAAACGGTTGGCACAAGCTCCCGTGTGAAGGTCATCGCTGTGTCGTCACATGTACACACACACACACACACACACACACACACACACGTGTCTGTCCCAGTGATAGAGCGCCGATGCTAATGTGTATGTTTGAGGTTAGCAGGAGCCGAGTCGAGTTCAGCTGTTCAGTGACTCAGTTTCGGTCTTTCAGGCCGGTGATGCTTTGCCATTGGAAATGTGAAACCTGATATACCTGATCGTCATTTTTATGCCTTTAAAGTCGGGCTTCTGTGATTTTTTCTACATTACTCTTCTTGATTTGTCACCAGGAGAATGTTATATAGCTGGCTAACATAGATGAGGTTTTGCTGTGACTTGAGTGGCGTCAGTGAAAACCACATACAAATCAGTAATGATGTAATGACAGATGATGTGTCATTGTTTCACGCATTCACGCATTCACGCACGCACGCTCGCTCACACACACACACACACTCACTCGCACACGTGCACACTCACTTGCGTGCACACACACACTCGCTCGTGCACACACACTCGCTCGTGCACACACACACTCACTCACTCACACACACACACACACACTTACTCACTCACACACACACACACACACACACACACTCACACACACACACACACTCACTCGTGCACACACACACACACACACACTCACTCGCACACGTGCACACTCACTCGCATGCACACACACACACACACACTTACTCGCACACGTGCACACTCACTCGCTCATGCACACACACACACACACTAACTTGCTCACACACTTGCACACTCACTCGCGTACACACACACAAACAAACAAACAAACAAATGCATATATGTATTTTCTAGGCAATTATTATTATTTCCCAGGGTATCTGATATGCTAACAATGTATCTAGTAATTGCTCAGAATAAACTGAAAACAGGCCCAGACTGCACAAGTGAAGTACATTTAGCAAAGCAAACACGAACTGCCCCATGATTCACAGCGCCTGTTTCCCGCCTCTCTCTCACAGGTAGGAAGTTCATCATAGCGAACGCGCGCGTGGAGAACTGCGCCATCATCTTCTGCAACGATGGCTTCTGCCACATGTGCGGCTACACGCGGGCCGAGGTCATGCAGAAGCCCTGCACCTGCAGCTTCCTCTACGGCACACACACACGCCGGCTGGCCATCGCCCAGATGGCGCAGGCGCTGCTCGGCTCCGAGGAGAGGAAGGTGGAGATCGCGCTCTATCGGAAAGACGGTAGGACACACACACACACACACACACACACACATTACTCCACAGGGCGTGTGAGTGTTTCATTACGACGAGGATCTTTCTTCAACAGCGAATGCTTTATTCAGGCTGTTTAATGCAAAGCTTGGCCTTGAGCTGTTTGCTATTGGATCTCAGTGTAGTTTTCATGCATCTTTTGTTTTAAAAGCTTCTGGACCTTGAAATGGCTTCAGTGCTTGAGAAATCAAACCTTGCGTAGAGCTTATTTTGTTTGTCAAACTAAAGTTTTGGATCGGTACGATTTTTCATGTTTTTAAAAGAAGGCTCTTCTGCTCACCAAGGCTGTGTTTATTTGATAAAAAACAGTAATATTGTTAAATATTATGACAATGTAAATCATCTGTTTTCTATGTGAATATCTAGTAAAGTGTAATTTATTCCTGTGATCAAAGCTGAATGTTCAGCATCATTACTCCAGTCTTCAGTGTCACATGATCCTTCAGAAATCACTCTAATATGAGGATCTGATGCTCAAGAAACATTTATGATTATTATCAGTGTTGAAAACAGAAATTTGTTTCAGGATTCTGTGATGAATAGAAAGTTCAAAAGAACAGTGTTTATCTGAAATAGAAGCTTTTGAAACATTATAAATGTCTTTACTGTCACTTTTGATCAATTTAATTATTCCCTGATGAATAACGGTATTCATTTATTTTATTCCCCCCTCCCACCCCCCAAAATTACAAAAGCTCTCTATTTCAGATAAACACTGTTCTTTTGAACTTTCTATTCATCAAAGAATCCTGAAATAAAAACGTTAATAACTGTTTTCAACACTGATAATAATGAGAAATGTTTCTTGATCACCACATCATCATATTAGCGTGATTATGCGGGTGTGATTGACTCGGCTCTATCTTTGGCGTCTGACAGATCAGAGAGAGGACGGGACAGAAGAACTGCTCCTGCTGGTGATGTTGTTTATGTGATGTCTGTATTGTTTTAGCAACCAGTTTGCTGAAGGAATTATGCAAATGAGCTGGTTAAACTGGATTGTGTCTGGCTAGTGACTGCAGTTCAGGTTTGTGCTGTGAAATCCCACACACGTGATGTGAATGCTTCAGTGTGGAGGCTCTTCTCGACAGCAGATGTTCGCTCTCAGGCTTCTGCACAGCATCACACTAGCAATCATAGTTTCCACTGTTTATGTGTTCGGCCGTGTGTTTGGTGTTCATCTCGTGGCCTCCTGACCTGCGCTGGTCTGAGACATTAGCATACCTTGCTATGCAATACAGTTTAGCGGTTACTGATGAATCTAATGCAGCGGTTCTCAGGCTTTTGACTCAAAGGACCCCTATTGTGTAACAATATTTTGAGTTTCCTTCTGTATCTTCTTTAATTATGACAAAACAATAGTTTTTGCAATAATAAACAATAAACAATTATTGTTACGCACACACACACACACACACACACACACATGTGCACACACACACACACACACACACACATATGTGCACACACACACACACACACATGTGCATCCGTCTCCCATCACACACACACACACACACACACACACACACACACACACACACACACACACACACACACACACACATATGTGCACACACACACACACACACATGTGCATCCGTCTCCCATCACACACACACACACACACACACACACACACACACACACACACACACGCATCGTCTCCCATCACACACACACACACACACACACACACACACACACACACATATGCATCCGTCCCCCATCACACACACACAAGCATCGCCCCCCCCCCCCGCCCCGCCCCGCCCCAACACACACACACACACACACATGCATCCGTCCCCCCATCACACACACACACACACATATGCATCCACCCCCCCCCCAACACACACACATACATACATATATGCATCCGTCCCCCCCTCCCAACACACAAACACACAAGACATACACACACGCACCCCCACACACACACACAAACATACATATATGCATCCGTCCCCATCACATACACACACACACACACACACATATGCATCCACCCCCCCTCCCAACACACACACACACACATACACATATGCATCCACCCCCCCCCAAAACACACACAAACACAGACATACACATAGATATGCATCCATCCCCCCTCCCAACACACACACACACACACACACACACACACACAGACGTACACATAGATATGCATCCATCCCCCCTCCCAACACACACACACACAAACAGAATCTTGAATCAGGCCTTGATGACGACACACACTTTGATTCTCATGCATAATTGAGGTGGAAACTCCATGTTGCTCCAGAAACGGGGATCCCGATGTTCATGATGTTCCCTCAGTCGGAGGAGGAACTGGTGTCGCATCTTCCTCGTGTGGCTGCGCTCATTTATCTGGTGTGCTTGGCGCTGGCATCGGCCTTCATGTTGATGGATGGCCCTTTCCTACTCTCTATTGTCCGTCGCTGATCTGACCGGCACTTAATCAATCACTCTGAGCTTTAAACTCCGCTCGGGTGCGTTACCCATGAAGACCGGCGAGAGCGAGTGGCAGTGAGGGAAGCCGACGTGTGAGAGGCGGATGGGTTGCAAAGGGCACAACGTCATATTTCCTATTTTTCCCCCAATTTTTTTTATTTCAAAATCGGCAGTATGCATTATTAGTATGGTGTTTACTAAGTTTGATAATATCATTTATTTATTTATCAGTCTAATGCATTAAGCCATGTTAGCGTTGCAGAACATCCACGAGGAGGCGGGTTTCGTGACATCATCGCGTACAATAGAAGTCCCATTTCATTGGCTAGGCGCCAACCAATGAAACGGCTCGTTTGAACACCCCCGCCCCCGCCCCCCTCTCTCTCTCTCTCTCTCGCCGCCACTGAGCTGCAAGTGCACACGTTAGTTTTGCACCTCATATATCGCGAAAAGAGTAGCAAAAGTCACGGCGCGAAATTTGAACTTGCAGTGACAGATTTGAGAAGTTGCAAATGCCAACTTGAGGTTGTACTGCAAATGTGAATGTACGAATAAATGCAAATATATATTACATGTTTGTGACTGTCATTGTATTTCTGTGAATGGCATTTTACACACAGTTGTGAGTGACTGCTTGTCTGCAGCTTCAGATTCAGAATACAGGTTTGTGACTATAGTCTGCGAGTGCAAATCTCAGCGTTCAAGTTCAGAATTTTATTTTACAGGTTTTCACATCGGAGCTGTGAGTGTAAATGTTCACATACAAGTACGAATATTTATTGTACAAGTTCTCAAATCCACATCTACGTGCTCTCGAGTTTAGCTACTCTTTTACCTTCATGACTGTGCCACTGTTCGTCCGACTGTTTGTACTGTATTTTATTAGATTTTTTATTCTGAACTGTTTTTATTATTCTTATTTCTTTTGATTATTTTAATTTATTTTATGTAAAGCACTTTGAATTACCATTGTGTATGAAATGTGCTACATAAATAAACTTAGTGCTGCACGATTAATCATATCGCAATCGTAATCGCGATGTCAAGCCTATGCGATTATATGACGCAAAATACTGCGATTTTATATGAAATAAACAAATTAGGGCTGTTAACGCAGCATCTGTTATTTTTTGTCATCCTTTGGCTACTGTTACATGATCCTGCTCTTATTCATGCGAACATGACATATGACATAAGAGCAACATAAGAGCAGTCTTATGATGGCCGTAAGAGCTGTGAGAGAATAAGGCGCGTGTGAGATCCGCGTCTCTGTCAGCAACTCTTAACCCTCAGAGCCCGACGGCATCGTCCACGACGTCACACGGCACCTCCGATAAATATTTATATAATTAGATGAAAGTTTTATCGATTTTCTTACCGTTTTTTCCAGCAGAAAGCTAACGAGCTAGCCATCACAGGGGGTGTCTCTGGTGTCTTTCTAGCCTTTACAGAAGGTTTTCTATCCAGCCTGGAACTTGTGCATCCTTTCGGAGTTTTTCAGCAATAAATCCAAACGCTTATATCCAAGTATGAGCCTCTTGATGTCCATAATTTATAAATATTCCGTCATTTTTGCCGCTAGCTCGATGCAAGCTGCCATTTTGGATATCACGTGATGTTTTCACGTGATGGTTGTTGACCAATTACAGGCTGATCCGTCGTAAACATTGGTGTGCGTCATGAACGCACGAACCAAGCTCTGATATTATTGTGGAGAGAGAGACGCACAAAGAGACGCGCGTTTCACAGAGAAACACAAAGAAAAATGGATGTAAATCAGCGCTGGCCTTTTTTGATGCCATGCAGGATGATGGATTTTCAGGAGAACAGAGCTTTTTGACCGATGAGGAACTAGATTAGTGATGTGGTCCTCTTTGTGATTGCTGATAGGAACTGTTTTGGCTTGGCACCAGTGTATTTCATGAGGCTCAAAACGCCTGGAATTCTTTTGGAAAAATGTAAATAGCTTTGGTTCTGTACAAGTTATAATGTTTATTCCTGTGCTCCAGGACTCCAAAGACATGAACAAACTGTTTTCCAGAGGAAATTTGCTTAGCTTTTATTTATTTGTGTGTGATTTCAAAAAATATTTGAGTTATTCAATTTCCGATTTATTTTTTCATTTGTCTTTGTGGTCCCATAACTTATTTTACATTCAGGTGACATCAATGCAACACAAATATGCTGAAAGTTCAATTTGTCCTGAAAAAAAAGAGGTGTGTCAATTGTCTGTGCACAAAAGGGTTGATGTTTTACAAGCTTTTTTAGTGAATAACACCAGACGGAAAATTTATTGTAAAAATACCCTTAGGTCTCTGAGGGTTAAAGGGCCAGCATCCAATAATGCTTTCTGTCAGTAAAGTTAATCAAAGAACAAAGGGAACAGAGAAAAACACTCACTGCTCTTGACCAAAGAACTTGTGTAGCTTTAAATTGGATTTTAGTCCATATAATTTATAATTTATGCAGCGCAGACTGTTTGATAACTTTATTCAATTTCTGTATATGTC